TCTTCTTGACTCTCACAAATTATTTGGGGTCGTAACATTGAGTAAATACTTACTGTGTGCCAGGCAAAAGCTAAGTGTTTTACACCCTTGCTATTCAAAGTGAGGTCCACCCCACATCTGAATCACCCGGGAGCTTATTAGAAATGCAGAATCTTGGGCCTCAACCCAGACTTATTGTATCAGAAGTCTGCAATTCTTTTAAAGATTTTATTTATCTATTTGAGAGATAGAGCACAAGCAGGAGGAGAGGCAGACAAGAGGGAGAAGCAGACTCCCCAGTGAGCAGGAAGCCGGATATGGGGCTCCATCCAGGGCTGGATATCACGACCTGAGCCGAAGGCAGATGCTTAACCATCTGAGCCATCCAGGTGCCCCTAGAAGTCTGCATTTTAACAAACTTCCCAGATGATACTATGCATGTTCAAGTTTGAGAAGAACTTCTTTACATACTTTATCTTTTTTTGTCCTTACTAAAACCCTATGGTGTTGCATACCTAGCAATAATGCTTTTTTTATTAATTCAATGATTAATAATCACCTCCATCTCTTGTTTACCTAGTATAGTTATAGAAGGGAGAGAAGATGCCATTAGTGTGTGTTCATCTACATAAATTTACATATGGTCTCCACCCTGGTTCTTCCTATTTTATGGTCTTTGAAAAACGGACAATAGATTTCCATGTAGCCTAAATAACTGGGAAGAGAAGACACAGGTGGAGAATTAATGCAAATGCTCCAAAGGATCCCCAGAGCAAAGGAAAAAGCTAAAACATAAAAGAAAATGGAAGGTACCAGACTCCTCCCACAGAAGCCGGGCCTACACATAATTGAAGTTTTTATTCCATGGCCCCTAATACTCACTGCAGCCCTGCCCCCTCTCTCCCTACACAAAGCTCTTGGCAGACATCCCACAGCTGGATCCACGGGTCCATCTCTCATCCCAGCAGAGAAACAAAGGATATTTTTTATTTTTTTAAAGATTTTATTTATTCTTTTGAGACAGATAGAGCATGAGCAGGGGGAGAGGCAGGAAAGGGAGAAGCAGACTCCCTGCTGAGTCAGGAGCCCTAAGTGGGGCTCCATCCCAGGACCTGGAGATGATGACCTGAGCTGAAGGCAGACGCTTAACCATTTGAGCCACCCAGGCACCTCACAAAAGATACTTTTTTTAAAAAGAAAGAAGTAGGGATGCCTGGGTGGTTCAGACAGTTGACCAAGTTGACCAAATTGACCAAGTTGAACCAAGTTCAGTCAGTTGACCAAGTTGACCAAGAGTGTCCGACTCTTGGTTTCGGCTCAGGTCATGATCTCAGGATTGTGACATCGAGCCCCAAGTAGGGCTCTGCCCTCAGCAGGGAATCTGCTGGAGATGCTCCCTCTCCCTTTGCCCCTCTCCTCTGCTCAGGCTTTCTCTCTCGCTCTCAATAAAAATAAAAAAATCTTAAAAAAAAAGAACAAGAAGAAGAAGAACTAAAATACAATAAGAGTAGCTCTCTGAACTAGGAATAGCCTATACATGTTTTTTCCCTGTGAGACTGCATGGTCACACCCCATGACTCCTGCAGGAATAATTCCCCCTTGAAATTGGGCATGCTGAGAAATCATCTAGTCCAAGGACGGAAGCAGACCAAGGCAGACCCAGGGTGGGCAGTGGTGGGTAAGAAAAAAAGGAAAACAGATGGCTTGCAACACCATCTCATCAGAAAGATGAAACTTAGAAGCTAATTGCCTCAAGAGATCCAAGTAAGAAAAGTACACGTTCATTAAGAGAGACTACTACATAGTCTATAAAACTTTATTAAAATTGGCATTACTTACAAACTTGTACAATAAAAATGAAAAATATATAATAAGACATTATTATTTTTTCTTACAGAAAAGAGTGAAAATGAGACCCGTGGCAAAGAGCCATCCCTGATCGTTTTTGTTCTTTTCAAACATTCATGAACATTTATTTTAAATATAAATGGCAAATCTTTTAAAACAACACTAAGGCATTACCCACAGGTTAAAACTTACCTAGGAATTCCTTAGCCCTGCTATTTTACCACCAAGTCCGCAAACATGGGAAACAGAGACCATGGCAGGCTCTAACAGTTCTAACACTCACACTACGAGCTATCTAGTATGCTAACATGACACGAATGTTGCCCATACTGTAGGAGAGTTCACAGAAGATGATTTCACCATTTTCAAGTTACTGTCAAGAGCGTGAAGAGGAAGATGACACACGCAGGCAGGGAATATGGGAGCCCAAAGTCCCAAATGTGGGGGAGGCTGTGTGCCATTCCCACCCACCACTAAAGCTGAGTGTTGATGTGGACATGAATCTGCTTTGTCTATTCCTAGCAGGCTCTGGCTCCCATCACATAAGGCACCAAACACCCTTTTCAAGGTAGTAACCACCTAGAATCTAACTCAACAGCAACTGGGGCCATAAGCTACGTTACCAAGAGATACCACTGGCTCACCATAACTGCATAGGTTTCCTTAAACATAATCATCAATTTCTGCTATATCAAAACATAAACAAGAGGTTTTAGGTGCTTCTGCCTTGTGCAAATGGCTATTTTATATATTTATTACTTGGTTTCAGTGCCTATGTAACATGAAGGCATAATAAATCTGTCAAACTGTCCTCTCCTTGGTTGAGATAAAGTTCTTGGCATTTCAATATAGGTTATTATCTCATATGTCAGACCTGAGTCCAAAGGAATACTAGAAGGACATTTAATTTCCTTTCCTCCTACTTCAACTTTCACTACTCAATTCAGAGAAAAGTTATGAGTACACAGCTAAGAACCATTTTTACGCAGGCATCCATCTGAGCCCATCTTTTTTTCTGGAACAAAAAGATTGAGGGCAATTGCATAATCCATTTCCAAGCTTTTTATGGATATCAGGGCCAGGGAGGACTATCTGGCCTATTTGGGTCCTTTCATTCATCAAATCTCTAACGTATATGCCAGTTGGGAATTGGACTGAAGGGAACACAGTCGGTGGAGTGAGGGCTAGGCCCCGGATGGGATGTATCTGCACAAAATAGAACACTGGAACCCAAAGCCTGTGATCAGCAAAACTCCCTTTGTAACAGACATAAAAGTCATGAATCTGGGGGAGAAAATAAACTAGTTTTGGTGGGATGAAGTGGCTGGTAGGACTTCCTTATTAGAAGACATCCAAGTTGCTAAACTCGTCCTTATTTTTGGTGATTGGCTCTGCAGGTCTCATGAAAGCAATCTGAGTGGGAAAGTGAAGGGGGAAAGGTTTTAGGCCAGCTAGCTCTCATATTCCCATTAATGGCAGTCGTGCTCTCCATAACTTGGTCAGATCAATTAGGGGTGATAGATTTCCGATGCTGAAGAGACCCTCAGCCCTGGGGCCAATTTACGGCTTGGTATTTACAAGCAAGACGCTGACGCTGACGTGGCAGGAGACGTGGCTCCAGTGTCGGTTCACTCCGTGGTTATCCCCTCAATCCTTTTGGATGAGGTCAGCCTGAGAGACGAGACTATGCTGAATTGCAAGAGCTGTAACTGCCAGAGAAAATTAAGGGGGGGCTTCAAGTAGTGACAGAGCCAGCAGACTAAGTGGCCAAGAGGGAGACAAGAGCAGCTTATGGAGTCAAGCAATCTGTGGGCACAAGGAGGCACTGAAGCATCTGGGGCAAGGCCACACGGGCAGGCAGAGCAAGGACACACAGCACACCAAAGGCACCGTCGTCCTTCCCAGTCTCAGAGCAGCTGTCAAGCTGCGGGACCCACGGTCACCTCTGCTGCCTGCAGCTCCGGTCTCCGACTACACACACACACACATACACACACATACACACACACACACAGAGTAATAAACTGGGTTGGACTATACTCCCCCCAAGTTCAAAGTTGGTGGAAAAAAGTGATCTGGAGGTGGAAACGAGATTTCATGAGGAGTTGAACAAAACAGAAAAAGAGGACTCTTTCCCTGTTTCTTAGCACTTTCTCACCAAGATAAAGATAAGAGGCAGGGCAGGGAAAGTCACCCTGGAGGCAAGCCACAGCCTCCGGAACAAGCTCTCTGGGGGAAGGCACCAAAGTCTCCAGGTAATCCTGAGACCACTTGTACAGATGAATTATTTTTTCAAATTAACAGCTGCTCAAATATGCTGGATCCTGATTTCTATAAATATAGAGCAAAAAATAGTATATTTCAGAGGCCCTAACAGTTTTCTGCAGAGGGATAAGATTTTACCATGTACATAATTTACAAAGGCATTAAGGTCTCCCAGTATAAAGCTCCTTTGCCCTGCAACTTTAACCCACAGCATCTGCCCAAATCCCGCCCTTTCACTTTCCACTGTATGTGGATTTGCTGCCAATTGAGGTAGTTGTCACTTTAGGACAGTGTAAAGCTGTGGAAAACACTGGTGGTAATAATCAACTGGCCACCTGGACATTTTGGAAGTCAGCACTGAGCCCAGGGCCTGACAAGATTATCTGCTAAATGGCTAGCCTGAAGGAGTCATTACAGTTTTTTAAAAAAATCATCTGCCTTCTCAGTGATCCCGGTGGACCAGGGCACCTGTGGCTGTGCTCCGTCCATCAGTGCCCATATTCCTGGCTAGAGTCATTATGGCCTCTTCCAAGGTACAGGGGTGAAGATCACTGAGCCAGAACCAACCAAATGACAGAGACTTGGGAATTTGCTCCCTCATAAATGACATTGCTGGTTTATAAGGGTACTTTCCAATGGCAAAAGAATCTGAAACTAATGCCACTGTAATAAAAGGCAGCATGAATCTCTGGTCAGAAATGGAACTGCAAGTAAGTATACTAAGTTCATGGAAAACTGTGTCTGGCTCTGAGAGGTGAATGAACATCCGGAGGCATGAAGGTGACCTGGAGGACTATTTCATGGCAATGCAACTTGTGACTGCTACATAGCTACAGTTTTATGTTATATCAAGGAAACTTCACAGACAGTCTTAGGGCTTGCAAATTAGCCAGATTATGGTGGGGGGAGCGGAATACACGTGGTAAGGAGAGGCTGAAAAGACCAGGTAGACTGGGTAGACACAGGAAGAGAAAGGAAAAGGAGAGTTTCTTGATTCCACAGCAACTCAAAGATATGTGCCCCACTGACAGGAAAAATGGAGGATGCATAAAAAATTCTCCCAAAAATGATCACTTCTCCCAACTTGCAGGAATAATGCTACAAATGAAGGGGAAGAGAATGTAAGAAATGAAACAAACTCTAAATTGTACATACTTCACAGCTGAGGAAATAGACACTTCCTGGAAGGGCAAAGGGGGCTGGAGGAGTGGCAAGGAAAGAATGCAAATGTCTTAAGATAGAATTAAAACTTGAATATAATAAAAGCCTGACAGACCTCCCCTACAGAAGAGTTCACAGGCATGTTCCTAAAAACAAGCAAGACTTAGAATATCATATGTGTGAGAACTAATTCAAACCCCAACACAACAATTCTGGGGCTTTAATGGCTGAGCCATACTAACAAACACGAAGGGGCCCATGGGCTTGTCGATCTGGAGTACTCCCTGGTTCTGGAACATGAATTTGTGACATTTAAAAAAATATATTCATTTCAAAAGCAAGACAGAAATAAAAATCTATATTCCTCTTCAAACAGCTAAAACAAGGATTATTCTAAAGTCACTGAAAGAAAAGCAGAAGTGAAGGAGGCTCAGATTTGTGGATTTCTCTCTGGAAGACGCAGCCTAGGGTCCGCAAAGAGTTACCACACATGTAACAAAGTTCTCACTTTTGAGTGCCAGCTGTGGTGGCAGAAACGCCACCACCGAGTCAATCTTTAAGAGGAGCTAGAACACCGTGCTAGCTGTGGTCATCTGGTTTTTTGTTTTTGAAACATAAACATGGGAAGCATTGAAAGCATTCGCTGCTTTACCCATTCTCCCTCAGAGATCCCACGGAGACCACCAAGACCATTTCCAGAGGGAAGCCTACTTCGGCTGCTAATTTCAGTGGGAGAAGTTTTGCACTATCTCACCCTGTTTCAAGGAGTTGAGAAGCAATGGTGCACACATGCAACATGGACCACTGAGGTGCCAAGCCAGTCCATATAAAAATAATGAACCACCACCTAAGTCAGGAGGTGATCTGTTGTGTGATAGCAGGATACGGAAAATCTGAGTCCTCCTCCTCAGTGGATGTCTCCTCATAGATTTCATCCTCAGCAATGATGCTCCCTAATCCATATTCCTGCTCATGGACAGAAACCTCATTTGGTGTGAGGTGAGAAGAACCTTCCACAAAGTCAGCAAATCTGGAAGAGAGAAGATAATACTCATTAAGAACCTGCCTTCTGTCCTTTCTGGTTTTCTTTCAAAATAAGAATGAAGTGAAACCTTCCATATACTCACAGCTCAAATTTTACAGAGCCTGCCTTACTCCGGCAGGGAAGCAGACTAAAAGCAAGAAATAAGGAGAAAAGGAAAGCTGGGGTCAGAGGCCAACATCCCATGAAACCCTATCCTGCTTAATAAGCACTAGCCTATCCTTTTAGTTAGGAAAGTGCTAAGGTTCCTTTAGTCATCTGTAATCCTGATAAGAGAAGATTATGGGGCATTACACATTTATTCACGTTTATGGCCCTATAAACTTTATGCCATCAGGATTCCAAATTGAAGCTTCACATACTCACCAGTACGGTGGTGCCCAAGTAAAAAGGGAACACCCCACCAAAAAAACCAAAAAACAAAAAGCAAAACACTCAGAGAGCAATGTAAAACTATCACATGGGAAACTTAATATGGTACTGGAGTCTTCTCCTCTCAATGCTGCCATCAAATCTAGAGTAGACGGTTGGTTCCTTGAGGAAGCAGAAAACAGGCTACTGCTTAACATATGATGATACATTTATCTTTTTCCCAACTACCCCTCGATGAGCAGGAAAACAAAGTTATGAATACAAAATGTTTATCTAGAAGTATGATCTCTGTTAAAACTCAAGGTCACAATCACCCTGATAGATTCCTGGCATAGATGGCCAAGAGTTTACCTCTTTGGAGAATGGATTCGAGAAACAGTCTTCCAAGCAGAGCAGTCAGGACTGTTACAATATTCTCGAAGCTCCTCTAAAGCCTTTCGCGTCTCCACTTCTCCTTGTATCCGATATTCTTCTTCTGTCAGGAGACGAGGGGGGACAGTCTTTTCTGCTGCCTTACACATCTTTCTGTACTCACCAAAATAACATCATGAATCATTAATCAGTAATTTCTATCCAGCCTGCCCTCTAGCTTCCTTCAGTGTGCCAAGTATACAGCAGAGAGCCTGGACATTAAGAGTCATCACCCCACCTTTCTTCTAGAGACATCTTTACCTATAACATACTCCTGACGTGTTAGACTAGGAATGACAAGTCAGAGTAATCAATAGTATTCACTAATGTGAATAAATTCACTTATTTTCCTATAAATGATAGACAAAATATTTGGAAAGTGGAAAAATGACAAGAAAATGGTATAAGATTGTGGTCCATTAACTTGAGATTCCCCAAACTGATGTCATCACCTTGACTACGTATAACAGAACCACCACTTACAACCTCAGAATCTATGACCACTCCATGTTCACTGTGCAAGACGATAACATGCTTTGAACTACATCTTAAGACTAGAACTCTCAAAGCAATCTGAGAGCCAGTGTGAAATAATCCAGAACCAGGTGACCAGAGGCATGTGGTATAAAAGTGCTATGCTTTGCACCACCTAGTGGTAAAAGGAACACATGACACTTTACTGAACGCTTTTATTTTAAATAAAATGACGAAAATAAAATGAGAAAAATGCCTTGAGAGAGTCTAAAAAGAAAGACTTGGAAGGAACAAAAGCAGAAGCATAATAAGATCAATTTCCATGAACAAAGAGGTTCCCAGGTCAACGCCTCTGTACCCTTTTGCTGCAATTGCATCCCACACGGTGTGTTTCAATACAAAGTTATATTGTGTTTCGGTCACCTGTAGGTGATGAACAGCCACTGAATAGGGTACTCCAGGTTCTTAGTACACAGTGCAATGATGATAATGGCAAGGGCAATATGTGGTATCTGGATACCGGAATACATGAAAAATAGGCCCATCAGCTGCAAGGTCCAAGTCAGCAGGTTGATGCTCCGCTCATTCTCCAAGGGTCCATACTTGTAACAGACTGCGAAACTTATGAATCCGACTGTGAGGACATAGCCTAAGAGAAGAGTTATCAGAAAAACATTCTTTCTGATCTATAACTGGTAAAAATAATTTGTGCGGGAAGCAGCAGTGCATTTGCTATATGGCGCCTACCGAACTAGGAAAATGGATAAGATATTTACCCAGGATTCACGCTTTTTTCACTACTCAAACATATTTATCTCTTGAAGTGTCTACTCTTTCTGTTGTTTCCAAATTTATCTGGTTCAAATGGAGGATTAAAGCTACATGTTGAACAACCCTAGAACAGTCTGTTTAAAAAAGCCTAATATATGAAAATCCAGATTAATTACCTCTCAAAAGATAAAGGGTTATCAACTGTATAACCAAAGGATCTTCACTTCATAGAAAAATTCACGGCAGAGTCCTTTGCTTCTTAAGGTCTTCAAGTGCATTTAAAATATGATACTATTAATAAAGTCAATTTATAACTTTTCAGAAAGATGCCTATTGTGTAAAGAGAGCTATACTTATACACACCAACCAATTAAAGTCTTTTCCCTGGCAGCACCATTTTCATTTAATGTGACGACTACACAGGGTTAGAAATAAAGCGAAGAACTATGATTCTTAAAGATTAATAAAAGGACATGGACTTTATATAAAGTTTTATATAATAAAAGCAGGCAACATCATTTCAGGATCAAATGAACTAAAACAACCTTATAAACATATAAAAAGGAAAGCAAAACCGACAACACTTACTTAAAAGATACTGCCAGTAACACCTCCAGATCTCTTGTAAATTTTTTAAAACTAGCTGAATGAGGTACAGAGAAAAGGACCAGCCTCCCACCAGGATGACGTAAATGGGACTTTTCTAAGACAGAGTAGAAGTGAAAACAAAAAGTTACAACAGGCTTTCCATACATAAAGGCAGCAAAATGGAACTACGATTTTTAAAAAATTCAACCTACTGAAAATGCACAAAAACCACATCCCTTAAGAAGACATCCTTTATATTTAAAATGGTACAGTGTGCAAAGACCACTGGGAAAAGGAGGTGCTAAATAACTTAAAAGCCTGGCTATGTAATCAGCAAACAGGAAGGAGACTTTAATTCCCCACTGTGCACAGGATTTAAATAAGAAAGGGGAGTTTGTATGCAATCAGACTCCAAGTTTCATCATGGAAAGTACCTTTCTGAATCAAGGAAAAGATCAGTGAAAAAGGACATTAACTTATCAGCCACAAATGCAAATTTTCAGTGCTGTAAGATTATCCAAGAAAACAGTCCCTCAACTTTCCAAGTTCCTCCTGACTGCAGATGAGGATTCTGCTACTTACCTTGGGCATGAACTTGGACAGTACGAAAATGACAATAAGTAGAGAGGCCGCAATTCCCACACTCATCCCAGTGGAATAGTAGAAAATCTGGCTTCTGCAGAGAGAAACATTACTTCATGACTATGTGCGCAGTCTTCACACACGGCATTGTTCGAAAGAGAACAAGTAACCCAGGGGCGCCTGGGTGGCTCAGTGGGTTGGGCCTCTGCCCTTGGCTCAGGTCATGATCTCAGGGTTCTGGGATCGAGCCCCGCTTCGGGCTTTCTGCTCAGCGGAGAGCCTGCCTCACCCCTCTCTCTGCCTGCCTCTCTGCCTACTTGTGATCTCTCTCTCTGTCAAATAAATAAATAAAACATTTTTTAAAAAAGAACAAGTAACCCAGCCGATAGACAGAAAAAAGCTATCAGATGAGAGCAGGTGTATGTCTAAATCTTGAGGTCTGAACACTGACGGGACTGGTACAATGCGGTTGCTGCCGGCTCAGGAGGATGGGGATCAGTAAGACCCCTCAAACATATGCCAACAATAAACCTCTGCCTAGTTGCGCAATCCCATTGCAGCATCTCTCCCAACCCAGTTTTAAGGAGAATCTTTCTTCTAAGGAACTGCCCGGCTTCACTGGGGAAAAAGAAGGTACAAGGACACTGCCTGAGTGGACACTGGAAACTGGAACTGGACTGACTGCCCAGAAAGATAAACGTCTTTCTAGACCAGACGCAGGGCCTAGAATAGAGAGCTCTGGCTCCTACGCCGGACTCTTCCTGCCAGGCATTCCTCCCTCTCTATGAGTTTCTCTCAGGATCCCCAAAATAAGGAACCGCTTCTACCAATCTCACTCCAGCCCAACTTCAAACTCCGACGGGTAGCTTTCATTCATTATTCCACAAATATTCTTTTTACTTTTGTACAAAGTTAATGTTGATTCTACATTTGTTCAATGTTTAGTTACCTGTGTTTTCTTCTTATTTGTACCTGTCAGTTTTACCTAGCTTAGCTGGGAGGTTCCTAAAAACAGGAAATGCGTAAGTGGTTGGTGTTTGTTCCTCTACCTCTGAATGGCATGAAACTCACCAACACATGGCCCTGGAAAAAGGAGGACTTAACATGTTATCCAAATGGTGGAAAGGGTGGTGATGTATTGGCTAAATCCCATCACATGATGGCTCAACCTAAAAGGAGACTTTCAGGGGCGCCTGGGTGGCTCAGTGGGTTAAGCCTCTGCCTTGGCTCAGGTCATGATCTCAGGGTCGTGGGATCAAGCCCTGCATCGGGCTCTCTGCTCAGCAGTGAGCCTGCTTCCTCCTCTCTCTGCCTGCCTCTCTGCCTACTTGTGATCTCTCTCTCTCTCTGTCAAATAAATAAATAAAATCTTAAAAAAAAATAAAAATAAAAAATAAAAAGAGACTTTCATTCTTGCCAATCTTGTTCAATATAAGAAAAAAGCAAAAATTGTAACATGTATTAAATTATTTAAATTTTTTTTTTTCCCAAGCAGGGAATGGCCTAGCCATAAAGCTCATGGAAAAGGGAAGGGCAGCTCTTTCCCCATGATAAAAGTGAAGCAGGGTGGGTCTAAGCCTCGTCATTCTGCACTCCAACCTTGGAACCTACCTGCTCAGCAAATCTCCACAAAAAAATAGCATAAGTCCAAGGAGGAAAATGAAGAAGAGTTTGGGGTCAAATCCTGAAACAAATAAAGACTTCTGTTTGATCAGGAAAACAAACAGTATAAAGGATTATAGAATGAAAGACAATGTTGGCATTATAGGTCAGCTAATAAAGTACAATTGACCCTTGAACAACATGGGTTTGAATTGCACAGGTCCACTTACTTACAGACTTTTTCTGACAAATACATCACAGTACTGTAAATGCATTTTCTCTTCCTGCGGCTTCTTAGTAACGTTTTCTTTTCTCTAGCTTACTTCATAGTAAGAATACAGCACATAATATGTATAACATATAAAATAAGAATTAATTGACTGTTTATGTTATCAGTGAGTCTTCCTGTCAACAGTAGGCTATTAATAATGACGTTTTGGGGAGTCAAAAGTTATATGCAGATCTTTGACTGAGGGGTGTAGTAAATCAGCCAGCATCTTAACCCGGTACTGTTCAGGGGTTAACTATAAACACAAACAACCTACCTAAACAGCATTGTAAATGCCACACAAAGCCTGGGGACCCTTCCAAACAGGAAATATAAGTAGGTCTCTGTATAACCTCTACTTTTTTGGAGATCTTATATTTTTTTTGGTTACCTATGCTAAGGCTAAAAGAAACTAGGCTTTGCTTCAGATAGAGCTAGGCCTAATGCTCTCAGCACTTCATGCAATCGTCCACAAGGGGTCTCTACCACTCCGGTTTTCACTCAAAAGTCTCTCACGGGTTCCGATTCAGCAGATTTGCCCAGAACTTTGGGTCTGGGCCCTCTGTTGTTCTCTAACTGGCTGCTTTTCTTGCCCAACACCACCACCTACTTCCTTCTGCTACACAAGCACTGTGTTGGAAAAGCGTACATTAAAACACATCTCACCCAGGACCAGGGGGCGCCCCCGAGCAGAGGCCTCTCGGTGGCATACCAGACACTCCCACAGCATTCACATTCAAGAGCCCTGAGTCTCAGGGAGGCCCTCAAACAGAGCGGGAGCAAGAAGAATCAGTACATGTGAAAGGGGCACAAAAACAAACAAACAAAAAAAACAAAACAAACAAAAAAACCCCCAAAAGGCAAATTCTATACAAGCAAAAAAGCCTGGGAACCATAGGGCAGTTAGAAGAGCACAACCTATTTTGTAGCAAAACCCAGGGATGTTTCTGCTATTCACAACATCCCAGGACCCTCGGTAGTAACCAAGGAGAGACCAAAAGTCAGAAAGTTCAACAGGATACTTATTCTAGTCCTCTGTGAAACCTTCTCATACATATTCAGAAAAGGGAAAACTTCTCCCGGTTCCACTGAATAAGGCTTCAACTGCAGTGATTTTCATAGTTTCTTATGGTTCCACAAATCCTTTTTACTTGTGAAATATTCATATTCAGTTCTGCTTGCCTTCAGTTTTTATTATTTAACGACTCAGGTCTTCAAATACGGGTCTTTATATCCAGGGCATCTAACTTTGTCTAGGAGTGCCCAGAGAGCAGGAATAAATGTGTCTTACCCTGAAGAACACTAAGCATATCAGCTCAGGGCCACTGGAAGTATTAGGACACAAGTCTTCACAAACCTAGGTAAGGAGGTACTCCGAACCACCTAAGTGAGGTCTTTATTCTAAGCCTAAAGTGTTGTATGTAGGAGAGAGATTCTCTTAACCGTTTGGAACAGTGGTATACTCAAGTTATGATCAGAATCAAAAGGGAGTTGTCTTGAGCTAACTTGTCTGTCTCGCTAATTACACTCTCCAAAGCCCTTTTCACAATAGAATCCACCAGAAAAACAGAGGAAAGACTTACTCCGGGTCACAGTGACATTGTACTGGGTGTCTTCCTCTATAATCTCAACTTTGAGGCAGGTTTTTGGGCTGTATAGACCCACGTTTACATAGGTGTCATTCAATTTCTCTTTTAAAAAGGAGGAAAAAAAGTTCCAGATACTAAACTGCTCTAACTCCTTCAGTTTCTCTTCATTCTCCACCTGGGTGACTCGTACCAGTTTGGAACTGTTTACCCGGATCTGTAACACAAGTAAAACCAGCATGAGAAAGAAGTAGGAACTTTAAATTTTCATAAATACAGATTTTAAAAAACCTTTAGAGTAAATAGCTAAATCAGTAATAGTGCCAGTTTTCCACAAGGCTTATAAGAAATATAGAGATGCAACGGCTCAAATATAATTGGGCAAATAACACTGCACATAGCACACAGAGGCAGCTATTAGAATGTCTTGTTTGTTAACATGATCTGAATCTACTATTAAGCAGAACAACACCAGGAGGAAAAAAGACTTCTAAGCTGAGTTAGCCCTATAGCTATTTATGAGAGATCATACAAAACAAGGCTCTAGAATATTAAGAAAATTGCCAGGCAGAAACAGCCCCAGAACACTGAAAATGTTTCTGTAATGACAGACTAAGAAGTTCAACCCTTTGTCACAAATCACTGATTATGGGTAAATGTTAGTTATAATGTGTCTCAGATGGAATATGATCTTTATATCAGACAATAAAATAAAGAAAATTCAAAAAACCCACAAGCCCACCCTTAGGTTTCTGATGTAAACAAAAAACGCTCTTATCAGTAACTATGCTTACAGCAGTAGCAGCGTTTCCAAAAGGACTCATTTTGTTCAATTATTATTATAGCCAGATGTTCTCGCTTGCCAGGTGGCTTAATAGTGTTATGAAATAAATGAAACCAAAGCCATTCTATCAAGGGAAAACTTCAGGCATGGGGTTTACGAAACATTTCGTGTTGAATCAAAATAGAATAAGAACAGCAAGGCAAGAGTTTACATCCTGACAGGCATGCAACAGTTTCCAGGCCAAAGAGGGCATAAGGCCTGGCGGGGGGTGGGGCGTGCGTGTGTTCATGTACGCATGTACATGTACTTGTGTGCGCGTGCGCGCACACACACACGCAAGGAGAGAGAGGACAAGAAGGAAGCTTCTTTGGGAAAAAGAGGAAGGAAGGTTACCAAAGGGTCAAGTGTTATAAGCTACTTAAAGGAACAGAGACAGAGAAGGGAATAAAGTATAAATGATTACTGATGAAAACCCAATTCAGAATAATCTGAACCCTACACCAAAGTTGCTGATAGGGGACAATGTATCAAAGTACTCACTAATCACATACAGACAAGATACTCACAGAAGCTGCCCCAGTCAGGGGCCTCCAAATTACCTGTATCCGCGTCCACACATCATGCCACTTTGGGATAAGCACATTTTTATAACAGAATTGTTGCCTGTGATTCGAATTATGAACTTCAGATTCCTGAAGCATGACCACGCTTGCATTGATTCCGGCTTTATGCAAAGAAAGGAAACAAGAACTGAATATAACAGAATAAGTTAATAGCTACAATTCATTCCATAAAATAGAATTAGCCTGACCACTGTTTTTGTTTTCTTTTTTTTTAAATATTTTTTTTTTTTTTTTGAGAGAGAGAGAGAGATCACAAGTAGGCAGAGAGGCAGGCAGAGAGGCAGGCGGTGGGGGGGATGGGGGGAAGCAGGCTCCCTGCCAAGCAGGGAGCCCAATGTGGGGCTCAATCCCAGGACCTTGGGATCATAACCTGAGCCGAAGGCAGAAGGCCACCCAGGAACCCCAATGTTTTCTTTTTTTAATTCAAGTAGAGTAGACACACAATGTTACATTAGTATCAGGTGCACAATACAGTGAATTCTTTAAGTCTATCCCTTATGTTGTGCTCACAAGTGTAGCTACCACCTGTTACCAGGCAATGCTGTTACAATACTGACCACTGACCACCTTCTCAAAACTGGGGTTAAAATGTGAGGGACTAAGAAACAAGAAAACTGAAATGAGAGAAGAAATTAGATATTATAGGCACTAACCCTGAATAAGCAATAATAAAAGCTACTAGTAAGTGCTTAATTTTTTTAATTTTATTTATTTGTTTGACAGAGAGAGAGAGATCACAAGTAGGCAGAGAGGCAGGCAGAGAAAGAGGAGGAAGCAGGCTCTCCACTGAGCAGAAAGCCCAATGTGGGCCTCGATCCCAGGACCTAAGACCACGAACTGAGCTGAAGGCAGAGGCTTAACCCACTGAGCCACCCAGGCGCCCTAGTAAGTGCTTATTAAGACAGTATGCTGTCTTTCATTTCACTCTCCAACAGTGCTATGAGGCAGGGACTCTCATAATCCCTGTTTCACAAATTTAAAAAAAATGATGCTTAAGGGGCGCCTGGGTGGGTCAGTGGTTAAGCATCTGCCTTAGGCTCAGGGTCCTGGGGATCGAGCCCCACACCAGGCTCCCTGCTGGGCGGGAAGCCTGCTTCTCCCTCTCCCACACCCCCTGCTTGTGTTCCTGTTTTCGCTGTCTCTGTCAAATAAATAAATAAAATCTATAAATAAATAAATAAATAAATAAATAAATAAATAACAAAAATCAATGCTTAAGAAGGATTAAGCAACTTGCCCAAAGTCACTCAGCTAGTGAATAACTTAACTGAGATTTACATCCAGGTCCTGCTTCCCTTATAAAGGCACTGCCAAAGTAACGCCATCTACTTATTTCCTCTACCCTTTTTCTGAGTAGGATGAACAGACTTAGCAATGTTTTTGCATATACAGTACTTTAAGAAGATACTAAAATATCACAAAGTTCCTTTTTTCCAGCTGCTTTGTTTCAGGTTTTAAGAGCAGTCATTTAATACATGCACTCCTTTGATTTTTGCCAAGACAGACGAGCCTCCATTCAGAAGTCTGTATTCAATCCCAGCCAACGCAAGGCTTAAAAGTGACCGCTCTCATACCTTCCCACCCAAGTTTGCACAAGCTACACTCTTTTTTTTTTTTTAAGATTTTATTTATTTATTTGACAGACAGCAGAGAGGCAGGCACAGAGAGAGGGGGAGGCAGTCTCCCTGCCGAGCAGAAAGCCCGATGCGGGGCTCGATCCCAGGACTCTGGGATCATGACCTGAGCCAAAGGCAGAGGCTTTAACCCACTGAGCCACCCAGGTTCCCCCACAAGCTACATTCTTTACCACAAAATAGTTTAATAACTTTTTCCTTGAGTTCTATGTTGTACTAACTTATTAAATGCTATTATAAGTGGAAATTAAGTTATCACTCTGGTCTAGGTACAAAGATAGGTAGATTTAAACTAAATAAACTAAATATACTAAATAATAAATAAACAAATAAATAAACTGAATATAATAAATAAGCAAAACACAAAACACAAAAAAAAACCTCAACCAAACCTTAAAATACCGAAGTTACACACACAAAAAAGGCAAGGACACTTGCCAGTCCAAAATGGCTTTGGTGAAGCTATGACTAATTTAGAAGTTAATTTCTGCCTTAAACCTAACCATGAGAGCAAAAACTACAAAACTCTTAGAAGAAAACACAAGTTGAGTCTTCCTGACCATGGATTAGGTGATAGTGTCTTAGATATGACACAAAAGCACACGCAACCAAAGGGAAAAAACAGATGAATCAGCGTTCTTAAGTATTTAAAACTTTTGTGTTTCAAAGAACCTTATCGGGATACCTGGGTGGCTCAGTGGGTTAAAGCCTCTGCCTTCCGCTTGGGTCGGGTCGTGATCTCAGGGTCCTGAGACGGAGCCCTGAATCAGGCTCTCTGCTCAGCGGGGAGCCTCTGCCTTCACTGAGCAGAGACTGCTTCCTCCTCCTCTCTCTCTCTCTCCCCGCCTACCTCTCCGCCTACTTGTGAACTCTGTCAAATAAATAAATAAAATCTTTAAAAAAAAAAAAAAGGACCTTATCAAGAAAGTAAACAGACAGTAAAATGCACAAAATGGAAAACAGTAAAATGCACAGAATGGGAAAAAATATTTGCAAATCATGTATCTGAGAAGGGTCTACTAGCCAGAATATATAAACAACTACAACTCAACGATAAGAGGAGAAATAACCCAACTGTAAAAATAGGCAAAGGATCTGAATAGGTATTTCTCCAAAGAAGATACACAATGGCCAAGAGACATGAAAAGATGTTCAACATCTTTAGTCCTCAGGGAAATACAAATCAAAACCACCAGGAAATACCACCTTATATCCATTAGGAAGGCTAAAATCAAAAAGAGGAGAGTAACAGGAGCTGGCCAGGATGTGAGAAACTAGAACCCTCATAAAGGGCTGCTGGGGATGTAAGATGGTGCAGCCTCTTTGGAAAACAGTTTGTCAATTTCTCAAAATGTTAAACATAGAGTTATCATATGACCCAGCAATTCCACTTTATGTATATACCCAAGAAAACAAAACACAAGCTTACCCAAAAACTTGTACATGAATGTTCATAACAGCAACATCCACAATAACTAGTTCATCCATGATGAACTCATGGATAAAACAAAATGTGATATACCCATCTATACAGTGGAATATTGTTCAACCATAAAAAGTACTTGTTTCATTTTTCCTAACCCCCAAGCCCCCCGCCCTGCCTCTCAAATTCCTCATATCAGAGAGATCATATGGTAATTGTCTTTCTCTGATGGACTTATTTCACTCAGCATAATACCCTCTAGTTCCATCTACGTAGTCGCAAATGGCAAGATTTCATTTCTTTTGATGGCTATATAGTATTCCAGTGCATGCGCATATATATATGTGTGTGTGTATATATATACACACACACATATATATATATCACATCTTCTTTTATATATACCACATCTTCTTTATCCATTCATCTGTTGATGGACATCTAGGTTCTTTCCATAGTTTGGCTATTGTGGACACTGCTGCTATAAACATTCAGGTGCACGTGCCCCTTCGGATCACTACATTTGTATCTTTAGGGTAAATACCCAGTAGAGTGATTGCTGGGTTGTAGGGTGGGATCCGGAGGGAGACAAACCATAAGAGACTCTTTTTTTTTTTTTTTAAAGATTTTATTTATTTATTTATTTGACAGACAGAGGCAGAGAGGCAGGCAGAGAAAGAGAGGGAGAAGCAGGCCCCCTGTTGAGCAGAGAAGCCTGATGTGGGGCTCGATCCCAGGACCCTGGGATCATGACCTGAGCCGAAGGCAGAGGCTTTAACCCACTGAGCCACCCAGGCGCCCCCATAAGAGACTCTTAATCTCACAAAACAAACTGGGGGTAGCTGGGGGGAGGTGGGATAGGGAGAGGGTGGTTGGGTTATGGACACTGGGGAGGGTATGTGATATGGTGAGTGCTGTGAAATGTGTAAACCTGATGATTCAAGACTAGTACCCCTGAGGCAAATAATACATTATATGTTAATAAAAATAATTAATTTTAAAAAATAGTAATAAAAAAGTAAATAAAACTTTAAAAATCCTTAAAAAAAAAAAAAAAGGAAGTACTAACACATACTCCAATGTGGAAGAACCTTTAAAACATTCTCAATGAAAGAAGCCAGACCAAAAGACCACATATCGAGTGATTCCATTTATATGAAATGTCCTGAATACACAAATCCAGAGAGACAGAAAGATTTCTCCTCACTGGGAGAAGTGAATGGTGAGTAACTGCTAAAACACATGGGGTTTCATTTTGGAGTGATAAAAATACTCTGAAATTAGTCAGTGGTGATGGATACACAACCTTGTGAATATACTAAAAACCACTGAAAGGGTGAATTTTATTATACATGAATTATATTTTAATTTTTTAAAAAATTCAGTCTTAGGGAACCTGGGTGGTTCAGTTGGTTAAGCATCTGCCTTCAGGGGCGCCTGGGTGGCTTAGTTGTTGAGCATCTGCCTTCATTCGGCTCAGGTCATGATCTTGGGCTCCTGGGATCGAGTCCCGCAGAGCCCTGCATCAGGCTCCCTGTTCAGGCTCCCTCCTTGATGGGGAGCCTGCTTCTCCCTCTCCCTCTGCTCCCCCTGCTTGTCTTCTCTCACTCTCTCTGTCAAATAAATAAATAAAATCTTTAAAAAAAAAAAAAAAAAAAAAAGCATCTGTTCAGCTCAGGTCATGATCCCAAGGTCCTGGGCTGGAGCCCTATGGGCTCTCTGCTCAGCAGGTAGTCTGCTTGTCCCTCTCCCTCTGCCCCTCCCCCCACTCATGCTCGCTCTGGCACTCTCTCTCCAAGAAATAAATAAAATCTTTAAAAAAGAGAGAAAAGAAAAGGGAAAGGGGAAGGAAGAGGGAAAAAGAAAGGAAAAGGAAGGAAATTCAGCCTTCATATTGTAGGGGAAGAAAAAGTTTTCCTCTATCCTCTTAGGATCCCTGGCTGGGTCTGAAAATTTAAACTGACAAAGATTAACAACAGAAAACCATACACATTTAATAAACGTTTTACATGACACAAAAGCCTTCATAAGGAAATGCAGACCC